CAAAGTTATGGAGTATGACATAAATCTTGAAAATGAAATAAGAGTCCGAATTTCAAAAGAACTTTGTAACATAAATGCAACGAGAAGTGATGAAAACAAGAAAAGCTCCAAGAGCGACAAAGATCCACTAGTTGATGATCTTTTTACACCATCTGACGATGATCAAATGGAGTTTGATAAAGATAAAATTCAAAATAAGGATCAAGAAAAGACGGATAGGATAAATTTCACAAATTCATACCAGGATATCGATCTTGAAGAATTCGAAAGTCAGAAAGATGAAAAGCTTGACATTGATGAAGATTCAACTGAATCTTGGAATGTGAATGCATTCGATTAATCGTTTTCTTCATGAAATAAAACTACTTTTTCATTTCAATTTTACTGAGTTTTTGTTTCGCAGTCTTTTGTCTCAGTTTCAACCTTGAAATCACTTTCGCGTTTCAAATTTCTGTAAAAATTCTGTTTTTTGAGTTCTCATTCTTTCGGAACACTTTCCGTTTTTCTACGAATCAAAATATTCAAAAAACTAGTGCCAGTCAGGAAAAAATCTATCATTCTAAAGATTCTGGTAATTCAGTAAAATGAATCAAGTTCTGTGTTTTCTCGATTCAATTGTTTTTCCAAACTGATTTCTAGTTTTCAAATGAATTTCCGTTACTTTTCGAAAAAAAGTGATTCAAAAAACTTCAAAAATCTAGTGATTCAGTACTGATTCAAAATGGCTGAACCAACCATTTTTCTGAATCAGTCATGAATCCTTTCTGTTGATTGGGAACAAAAGTAATCAACAGGAAGGATTTTGAAATAACCAAATGAAGAGAGCAGGGTGATGATATGATTACGAAATTTCAGTTTACTGAATCTAATATCAGGTATCAATCGAAAATCTTTAACGTTCTCTAGTTGATTTTCAGAACGAAATTCTTGATGTCTTGATCAATTTATTATGTTTCTTTTTTGTAATATTTCGTTCAAATATCTCAATATAAAGCAAATGATAAATTTGCTTTATTTTCTTTGTGAAAATGAACAAATTTCATGCACATTGATTGTTGATGATTTTTTTTATTAGGTGAAAATGATTAACATGAAGTTGTTTGTTTCTGTTTAACCGTTTCGAGTATGTAATAATTAGCTATTGAAATAAGTTCTGTAAAATGTTATAAATCAATGAATAAATTTTCATTATGGTAATTTTAGTGTAAATATCACTACAAAAATTACATGGATATTGGAATTGATTGAATTGCTATTGAAATTGTATAGATTTGATTTCAACTGATTGTGATTATTTACAAGGTTGACTGATTTACATTTAATCAAATATCTTCCTTGGTATTTAGCTTTTACGGTGACTTTATGAAGGAAAAGGCTTATTGTTGAAAGATTCATGATGGTTTTTCCTAGATATTTATTTATCTAATACCATTCATAAAAAGCTATTTAAGTATACATCTAAATCCAATGAAATAAAGATAGTCAAATAATACAAAGTAACATAAATCATTCACAATCTTATTCATTTTCAGAAATCATATGAAAAACAAAACAATCACATTCAATTCAGATTTCAACAGTCTAAAAGGTTCTAGCACTCTAAGGTTTCGAGAATAAGTTTTATAAACAATAATAATAAATTTGATTCTAAGCAAATAAAATCTCTCCATGAGATAACATCTTGAGTTTTCACAGGTAATATGAGTATCTACAGAGCTAAATGATAATGACACGATCTCTTTTTAATAGTTTCAGTACGAAAATGATGAAATATGAGCGAAAGTAGAAGCAAAAAAAGTTCTAATACCTTGTTTACCTTTTCAATGAACAAGGTGTATACTAATAATCTATCATCTTTTTCCCCTTTATCAGTTTTAGGCAAGAAGAGTGATAGCTAGAGAGAGAGAGAGAGAGAGAGAGAGAGAGAGAGAGAGAGAGAGAGAGAGAGAGAGAGAGAGAGAGAGAGAGAGAGAGAGAGAGATTGAAATAATGCTCATGAAAAACAATAGAAAGAAAATAAATACAGAATCAGAACGAATCTGATGGAAAAAAACAGAAAGATTCAAGTGAAAGGAGATGATGAGGTGAATTGAGATTCACTTTGGATCAGTAACATTGTTCAACATAGAGATTATCCTTTAGGAAAAGAAAATAAAGAATTAGAATACAGTGTTTTATTCTGATGTTTTTCTGTTTTTTTTCCTATTCCAAACACAACATTGTCATCCTTATGTTCAACATCATCATCATCTTTCTGAAACCTAGAAAATTCATTCAAGGTTAATGGAAGACTAGATGATGAAGGAATGATCTGGTTTTATGGAGGAACCAAAGAAAAAGAAAAGGAAAAGGAAAGAGGATAAAGATGAAGATGATCAGGAACTTGATGAAAGAAAAACGATTTCATGAGTTATAATGAGAGAAAAAAAACCAACTAATCTAATCTGTTTGATTGGAGGTTAATGAGATAGAGTGGATAAGAGATTAAAAAGAAAACCCGAGACGATTGTTAAATTGCTGCTCTACTATTTGATTGACCATCGTTGGAAAATGATTCGAAAATGAAGAAAATTCGAAAAAGAAAAAAGAGACAAAAATATGTAATATTACTTCTTTATCTCGAAATTGGAACCAATTTCTCATGAAAATCATGATGAAATTTCATCTTCTCATTTTCTTTAGTTCCATTTGTATTATATTTATTAGAACTAAATTTAATCCTGTTGATACATTTTCTCTCATTAATTTTATCGAATCTCATCTGAATATTAATTCATAAAATTCTTACCATTGTTTTTGATTGAAGAGAAAATAAAGAAGAAAATTCGTAAGCAAAAGAAGCAAGAAAAAAAAGATAATCAGAAAAAAAGAGAATTAGATAAATTCTGTCTGAATAATTCAGAATTATTGTAAAACAGCAAAACAGAATCAAATTCCCATTCAGACATTATCGAGACAATTTCATTATCCAATCAAAATAGATAATAAAAACAAAATCACTCAATCAACAAAAGAGATAGTAAATTATCATGACTTTCATCATCTAAAATCGGAGATAAACTCCCTGAGAGTTCAACAGTTTTTCAATATAACTTCAGGTTATATTTTGAAATCGTTTCCCTAGTAAATGAATTACAACCTCTAGCAACAGATGAAGTTTCTGGTTACTTTTTACTCATTAACAATAATGGAATCATTACTTTTCTATGCTCAGGTAAAAATCTAATACATTAATGTAATATTAGTGCAGATAAAATGATGACACATTAACAGTTAGTTCATCATGAAATTAGTCTGAAGAAAATGTTGATGAACAAAAATTCACTTGAAGGTATTAATATCTTTTACTAATTATGCTTGAATACTGTAATACCCTCATGTTAAGAACCACAATACAAACTCTGAAAAGGTTTCAAATTATAATTTTGAGTGTTACTGAAACAATCTAACAAATAGATGATCAAATTTCATTGTGATAATTAGTTAATTGTTTGACTATGTAAAGGTTATTTTAAGTGTGAAAATCAACATTATCCCAATGAAAATTTCACAATTTTGAGTAAAAATAAATTCATTTTCATGGTGATGAAGAAAAAGATTAGAAAAAAAATTTCTTTCTTTTTCTCCTTCTATTCTTGATTCTGTTAATAATAATCATCGTCATCTTTCAGTCTAATTACTTTTCCATAAAGTAATTAGTGTTCATTAAATTTCTGCTAACTAATTTACAGAATTTGATATTATCTTCATCATGATTTGTATCTTTAGATGAAGACAATTAGGTTGATTGTTGTGTTGTTGTCATGATACTGGACATAAAAAGCTGTTAACCAACATTGTGACAGCTGATTAATTAACGATTTCCATTTATATTCATAAATACTAATCAACGCTAATTGTGGATACAGTTTAATTACGAAATGGTTGCTGAAATTATGATAACAATTAAGTGGGTGACAGATAATTGTACCTAAAGAAGACACCAAATACCAAATAAGATACATAATCAAAGATACAAATTGTTGATATGATTAACAGTTTGTAATGATAATGGTGTCAAAGAAAAAGTAAATCAAAAGTCAGATTAATATATTAAGAAGCTAAGATTCCCCTGATGATTCTGTGAACACCATGAATCTCAGAAAATTGAGATGAAGATGAAAATGACGAAATGAACATCACCAGAAAAAAAAGAGATATTAACAAATAAGAAGATAATCTCATGAGAATAAGGTAAATTCATCTAATCTTGATAATCTTTTATTATCCTTTAAATCAAAGCAGCAGAACAAAAATTAGTTTAAATTGTTCAACCAACCATTTGATTTCTTTATGATTATCATCATTAATTTGCAAGATAATCACAATAACCTTTAATCAAACAATTAGAGAGCAAAAATTTAATCTGATTTACATCCTAATCGTTGTTATTAATGATAATTAGTCTAGAAAAAATAATTTTGATTATCAAATGGATTATACATCCAATGGGATGGGTTGAAGTTTTGAATATCTATTTCTTGATTGTTGACAATTTACATAAATCATTGGATGAATTAAGTTAATTTTTATCTCAATATTTCTTGATTAGCAAAAAGTCAATTAAATCAAATCCGATGAGGATTAAATTTGATTGGAAAATATTATGATTAAGTGAAATGATTAAAAAATTGTTTAATTATTGAGCAATTTTCTATTAATTATCTCAAGAAAATCAAATCTCAACAATTTACCATCAATCTTATGATTGTGAATTAAAGAGCAAACAAATTATCAGTTGAAGTGAAAGTTTACTCTCATCATTTCCGTTTCCTGTTAATGGTTTTCTTACATTTCCTAATAATAAAAGAGTTTCTTATAATAACACAATCTAAATAATAATCATCTCTTTCATTGTTATTGTTGATTCTCACATTTAATTCAACTTAAAATACACAATTAACCCTCTCATCATAATCAGTGAAAATCGTCATGTATTAATTGGTAATATTGTGATAATTTATTGATCTTGTTTTCTAATCATTTATCCTTAGGGGTTTTTCATCTTTATGGCCATTAGTTTTGATGACAATTAATTTAATCATAAACATAGATCATGACTCAACTCTCATTGTATTCAACTGATTAATGGTAAATATTGAGCAATTTGCATCCTAATCTAATCACCAACATAATAATGTCCAAGGAAATTGAATCTGTTCAACCAACTCCACAGACTGAAATGGATGCCCTTTTACTTGGAAGGACAAAGGTAAGTATCGTAATTGTTTACGATTAATTTGATTAAATTGTTCCAATCAATTAGACTCATACTCTAATTCAGTTTCCTGGTAAACTGAATTATCTTCAACTATTTATTTTCATTTGAAACTCTCAACCATGGTAACCAAATTTCTGATTGTCTTAATTAATCTATTTGTCAATTTAATCTGTGATTTGAAAATCCTGAATGAGCTTAATTGTTGATTAGTTTATTTTCACTCATTGTTTGTTCAATTTCCTGTAAAATTGATTATCGGCAACTGATTCAAAGATTGGGAAGAAATTTTAATCAAATTTTTGAGGCTTGAAAAGCTTTTAATCAAATTCATTGAAATCCAATTAAAAGTACATGATGCATATTCAATATAAACAATGTGAAAATGGTTGATTGTTTAAGTTAATTGTTGCTTCAAATTTAGCAAACACAATCAACCATTGTTAGAATTGAACAAAATTCTGGTTCGAAATTTTCAGATGCTAACCTTGAGATTATGTTTTATCAATGTCGCGATTGTGATAACAGTTTGATAACAATTTTTTACTATGGAATCAGATGTTTGATAAGTTCTGTTCAAATTATCTGAAGATCGATACTATGATTAGCTTTGTTAGAAAAGATCTCGATCATCTTGATTACCGGAAACTGTTGACTAGTGGGTTAGCATTACCAGTTGGAAACACCATCAACTTCCGGAAGTAAAGGTTTCTGCCATTTTAGATTTATCCATTTCTTTCATATCTTCCATAATCCTTATGGAATATCCAACACCCTGAGAATGAAAGAAAACAATGGAATGACCAGTAACATTAGCCCCTTTATTCACTTCTCATTTTCGATGATTTTCCTGGCGAAATTTGATCGATAAAATGACCCTGAACATAGCTGATCAAGTTGATTGATTCTTTCGATTTTGATATCATTCGATTTATTCAATCAAATTTCATATGAAAATAATGGAATTATAATTCATCAATTCTAAAATGAATAAGAACTCAGGTGAATTATGATTTATAAGAAAAACATTTTTGTTACAAATATCGAATCAAATTTCCTCTGTAAACAAATTCTCATTTTCCACCATAGATCAAATATTCTTTATTTTATTTCATAACAAACTAGATTCAAGTTTCCATGATAATTTCAATTTCAATGAATTTCTCCTGGAATAGAGTTTAAAGTGACATCTATTGATAGAATTGATCAACTGGAGAGTTTACAAGAAAATGCTGCTAATAGATGTCGTTAGTATCGAAAATGTTCTAATTTTCCGTTATTTCTGATGAAATAGTTTCTCACCGAGAATTCAGCTCATGCGGCAGAATTTCTGTTCCTCTTCCACCTTGTTGAGAATATTGTTGATCATGAACCTAGAAAACTGTGAAATAAAAAGAGGGAAAATGTTCATATGAAATAAAAATTCTAGTTAACATCAACAACGAATAATAATAACACAAAAATAAATACTTCGAACTTCGTAAACAGTTCAAAACTAAGAATTCGTTTATCCCACTCAAGTCAATCAATCGAATCCTCTTTCTCCTTCAACCTTAATATCAAATTTTCTTTTTGTTTATTAGTTAAAAATATCATCGAATTTTTTTCTCTCTTTTCAAACTTTGACAGTGACAAAACTTTTGATTCTTTTTGAAAAGTTGAAACTCCCAATTTATTTATTCTTGTAAATCAACTTGTGAGAATTGATTAATTTCTGTAACATTTTAATTAATCATTTAACTTTCACCTTTGATGGTAAAATCAATGAATCTCAGTTGAACATTATCTCTACAAGTTAACAAAGTGTAATGTATGTTAATGGAAAAACAAACTAACCCTGAATACCATTGGGATAATAATCATAACATTGATTCTTGTGCATTATTATTGGTACAATCATCATCATCTGAATCTTTATTACCTAAAGTAATTAATTCATTTCATGTATTAACTCAACCATCGGTAAGCTTGGACATCGACGAGCTGGATACCTTTGGGTCAACACCTTCCCTTAAATCCTATTATGCGGTCACCGATGAGGTATGATAATAATTGTAAACAATTAACAATTAGTTGACTGATGGTTGCGAAAAATTTTCCACAGTTTTTGATTTTTGAGCAAAATTGAAAATTTTTCATTCCAACTAAACATAACCATCATCACCATGATAATGATGGTGAAATTATTATTGTTATTATTGTAGCATTTGATTTTCATGAGCTTTTCATGGTATTGAATGATGAATATTATCATGAACTGAATCACAAATTTCAATTTTCCTCATTTGAAAAGTGTTACAAACTCTCATACTATTTATGTTATCAACAATGAGAATTTAAAATTTCCCTGATTCTGAGACTATCATGATTATGATTCCCATGTATTCATGTGTATGAAATATTTTCTTGTTTACTCATCACTTATATGCTTATATTTTGTTGATGAACATGAATAGAAATTCATTTTCCTATCATGAATGAACATTATTACTGTCATTCCGTGATTATTATCATCATGGAAAAATAATGATAATCAACAGATTCAATTTCTTGATTCCCTTTAGATTGAGTTAATGGTTAATATCATGAGATGGAAAAGTTTATCATGAATCAAATGTATATGAGAATATCATTTGGGAAGATTTAAATTTTCATCATTTGAAGTAAAATGAATAGGAACAACAACAAAAAAAAGTTCAGAGTAAAAATTGAATATTAATACTTGCAAATGATGTGAAATTTGTTTCCATGGTTGTTTCATGATGAAGAAAATAAATCATGTTGAATTGTGATTAAATGTATTACGATAAATGGTTATTAAATGGATATTATTTCAGTGGGTGGTGAAAACATTTATATCATTTACAAGTAAATTAAATTAAATCGACTGTTTATTCAATTCGTTGTTCAGTTCTCAGGTAAATCATTACCATGTAATATCATGATGATGAATATATAAGTAGGGGAGAAAAATATTAGAAAAGTTTCATTTTCTTTCGCCCTCAATTTAATCATGTACATCATGTTTCTCCCTTTGAATATCTGATATGTGAAAGTTTTTATCGATTTTGATTAATTTTAAAATCATTTGAATCAAATACGATCAGCTTATCGATTTGAAACATTTAATAGATCACTTTTAATGTCAGTCAATGTATTTGTTTGGTTAATTTCATTCCAATTCCTTAGGTTGAATGTTCATGATGATTTCTCAACTTTCCATGAGTTAATATCATCATTTTCAGTTGTGATTAGTTAATATTAGTTTGATTTATTCACCTTTATAATATGATCACGATTGTAATCATTGAATCCATGGATTAAGTTTGTTATGTGACATTTTGATAATGTAAAAGATTTCATGATAACTAACATGATGATCACCATGATAATGGTTTTATATATATACAGGGTATATGCACTGGAAGACTAATTATCACTAAATGTTGAACTGAATAAGCAAAATGTTGCATAACTAAATGAATCTTGATGAATTATTATCTCCTTTGAACCTGAGGAATAAACCAATTGACGATGATAATGATGATCTAACAAATGTAATTACGATAAATTCAGGTTCAGTTAATCAAGTGAACTTGTTCTGTTTCATTTGCATAGACCCAGTTGATTTAATAGAATCGGATTAATACTACTCATGATGATGCTGATGATGAAGATAATCAACAACATGATGATAATCTTATTAACTTTTACAAGAATTGATGATTTTTTCCCAATTGTTTTCGAGTAAAACTTATTTATATTATCCCCTCACCCCAACCTTTTCCTTGTTTGCAATAAGTTTTACTACTAATTAAATTATATCCTCATCCTAATGATAATCTTTACAAATGTTTTCATCTGTAAACTGAATGTTGATGCGATTTACAGTTATATCAACTTTATAAATAGAATGGGAAAAAAAGTAGTCCAATCATCATGATGGAAACAATTTTCTCCATAAAACATTATCAAATGATATTGAGTTTCTTTCACCTTTTGAAAGTTTCAATTCTCATTCATTATCAAAATAAAAATCGTTATAAAGAAAATTAAATCTCTTAAGAAAAAATGAAATCTCTCAATTGTTATCATGAGGGAAAAAAGTTCTGTAAGTTATCATGTATACTCAGTGAATACTTGTTAATGTATAACTGGTTCATGGAAGGAAAATGTTGTAATAATATCAATTGATTTCTTGTTAGTTTAGATAAACTTTTTCTCTACTTTTCTTGTAACAATCATGAACGAAAGTGTAAAATAAGAAACAACCTCATGGAAAAATGTTCAACTTGGTTTGAAATTTTCTATCTCTCAATTGAATACAACTGAATTGGAATCTAAAATTTCACCGAAAACAGGGAGACATTGAAAGAGAAATGTTCTGAAATTCTCAGCATCCAGTAGGTGAAAAGATATCGAATGATTGTATTCTCACACTATTTGTGCCTCTATCTTTTTCACTATCATGAAAAAGATATAATTTTGATCTGAAATGATGATAGAATCGTTCTGTTAATATACAGTCGTTCAAGTTCAATATGAACAATTTAAAGAGAAACTGAAACGGCTTAAAGATCAAATGAAACAGATTAGCGACTAAAAGGATTAACAATCTTCTTTTAAAATTCAAGTGAAACGCTTTAAATAGGCTCAGAAACAGATTCAAACATTTCATTTTCTTCATTGTATTTTTCAAAAGAATTTTATTTTAAAAAAAATTTAAGTCATCATGTGATCGAAGTAGTTTCGACAATCATTTTCGGTGATCACTTCAGAGGCTCTTTCAATCGATGAAAAAATTTCGTCAACATTTTTCGGTTTCATTTTTTTTACATGAAATTTCAGTTGATTGAATAAGTTTTCGATAGGATTTAAAAAAAGTGAATATGGTGGCAAATAAATGACATTATGACCTGATGATGAGAAAACTGTCTCGACATTCGAACTATGATGAAATGGAACATTGTCCATTATGATGTAGGCTTTCTGAA